AACATTTATTGCTTATCTCTATAAAGAAAACATACCAGAAATAACGTACACTACTATATAATTCATATGTAAACATTTTTTTTGATGAAACAATGAATTCATACCATTAACGTCAGTGGTGAGGGTGAATCCTTTGCTCTTTGCTTTAAACAGTTTAGCAATGGGGTTTTTGGACTTCTTGTCTGTTGAAATCATAGAATAATTTATAGTTATTTTATATGCATTTGTTTAAAATGTCAGATTCACAGGTGACTCTGCTGACTGAGCATTTTCACATCCCTGAGTCTCATCATCAGGGAACTATGAATACCTGATCCAAATATCCAAATCACTGACACATTTTAACTTATGATAGTTGAGCTCAATGTCCATTATCTCCTAAAACTCTCACCAAAGTAAAAAAAAAAAAAAAAAATCCTGGCGAGGCATCAAAGCTGATTGTACCCTGCATCTAATCTTCTTTCATGTCTTTCCTCAATAGGTTGTAAAAGTTGTCTTCTATTAACAGCCCCTCACAATCAGCTCAAGGTTGCAAAGAAGATTAACTTCAGTTACACCTGTTTATGTAAAAACCAGCACATTAAAGCAGCCTCACCTTCAACTTTCACAGATGTAGGTGCTGATTTAGTGACTGCATCGTTCCTGCAGTGTCTCTCGACCCAGACCTGCAGGTCTCTGCAGTAGTAATCCTGCACTTCCCTCAACACCTGCAGGAACTTTTGGCTGCTCTCCTCTGTGGCACACACTGTCTCCAGTGCCTTTGCCACAGCATTGGAAGGCGACCTCTCCAGCAAAGACAGGTAGCAGGCAGACGAAAGCACCTCGGCATCACGGAGCCAACGCAGCAAGGGCGCTGGATGGTCACATGTCCACTTCAGCAATAAGTCTCTCTGAGAACGGAGCAGCTGCTGAGCTGAGCTCATAACTTCTTACAATAGTGCTGACTCCCAAAGCGAAAAAATAATCAAAGCTTTAAATGAATTGTTACTGCATTCAGTAATATAAGAGAAGACCCAAACTTTGATGTTTCAGTTCTCACACATATACCAAACTGCATTTATGCACATGAACAACAATAAGGATTTCTGTACAAACGGTACCATTCTCAACACATACCTTATCCGTGCACTGTAGTATCTTTACATTAAGCTGTGGTTTTAATCCACATCTGGTGTTGCCATTGCAGTCTTGAGTTTTGGCACGAAGGCAGTTTGCAGTCTGTTTTAAGGAGCAGGGAGGTGCAAGCAGCAATTCAAACAAGCTTTGAAAGGGTCCAGAGTTCAAGCAGTTAAAGCCTTTGTACCTGACTCTGATTACTTGGTTTTGTTTGAGCCTGAAGAAAAATTTATCTCAAGGTGATAATGACAGTAACTGCAACAAAATGGAAACAAATTTAAAATAAGTTATAAAAGTTGTTCCACATGTAGTCTGTGTTGAATATCTGCTCTGTCACTACACACTGCATGGAAATGAAATTGCTCATATTAATATATTTAGTCAGATCATTTTAAAAGGTCTTAAATAAAGACTAAGTGCCCTAAAATTATTTATGCCAAATTCAGTTTACGAAATATGTCTCAATGTACGATAATAGAGAAAACAATTCTTATTTAATCTAAGGAGCTTGGAAAGAAAAGCGTCTGGACTTCTTTAAGACACTTTTCTTTCCAAGTTCCTTAGACTATGATGACCTGGATGACTGAGAACCTTCACAGACAATTCTTATTTAAATGCTTCAACTTCATAAAGTTTCAATATTACACTTTTCCCCTTCATCCGTGATGACCTACTTACACACATGCAGACATTTGCTGTCAACAGCATAGCAAATATGTCACTAAAAAGTTAATATTCAAACCCCTCTTTTTTCCACACTCTTTTTTTTTCACTATTGTGGTTTGGCTGGTCCGTACACAGGGAATGAGAAATGTATCAGATTTGAGTTGCTAGTCCCTTTGAGGAACTGGGTAACAGCATGAGAGTGACTCACTCACTGTCATGTGCTGTCTCATAGCTGCTTGCTGAGGTCTTTCTTTCCTTTGCAAAAAAGGACTTCAGCACTTTAATGATTTTTGGATCATTTATAAGCTCTATATATTCTAAAGTTATAACCCTATGATTTATTTGTTTTATAATTACACTATGAGCAACAAAGATAAGTGGAGGTAAAATAAACAAATATAATAAACAGTCATTTGATAATGGACGTTTGAGGGGGGCATCACAGGAAGTCATAGTACCAGCTGCATAATGAAACAATCAAGCTTCCCCCCTCTTTGCTCCTTTGTTCATCCTTCCCTGTCTGAGCCATCAGAGCAGGGCTGCAGACATGCAGGCAGACATCGTCTTCCTTGTGTGTCCTCTGATTTTTGGTAAGTAATTAAACAAATTATTGATCATTTTAAATATACTTTAAACTTTCTTGAAAAAAAAAAAGAAATTCCAAAAAATTAACAAAGTTGCTTTTTGGCTGCATTTGGAGGACGTTTGCCATGTGGTGTAATTTCATGAATCCCTGTGCTCCACTGGCTTCTCCTAAATTATCAATATAAGAGGTTTATTTTAAGTACTTTTTTTTGTCTTTTGAATGTTTTCTGCAAAATATTTTTGTGCTGATGAAAATTAAATACTAACAAATCAGATTGTATTTTTGTAATAAAATGCTCTACATTTTTATAACTTAAAACAAATATTTTTCATTACAAAAACATAGACATGTTTTGCAGTCTGAATAGTAGATTTAACTATTAACAGAGTTAAAACTCCAGCTGCTCTCTTCCTCTTTCTAAATATACAACTGTTGCAAAACAGTGTGGTATTTGTAAGATTTCCAGATAGCACAAACCTCTTGTCATATAAAGTTTAGTTTTTACGATGACCTTTCTACACAGTCTCAAGAAATCAATGCTGTTACAGCTTTTACAGCTTCTTTTTTAAATATATGAAATATTTTAATCAGCCGTGTCCTTGAGACATTCTCTTATGCTTTTTAGTTGTCATAATAAAACTGTGAAATATCACTACTGTGTCTCAATTATGTAAAGTTCAATCTACTGTCAAATAATGCTGGATAAATGATTTTCTGTGCTTTCTGTACGACAGCAACATTGTGGAGGGGGGTGCAGGCTGTCTCTCCTGTACCCTCAGTCCCTGACCGTGTCCAGGCTCTGGTGGGCACCTGTGTGGTTATTCCCTGCTCCTTTACGCCTCCAGCCCCTCATCCTATTAGAGGGACGAAGCAGTGGGTGGATGTGCGGCTAAGGTTCAGAGGTGGTGGCCCTTTTTTTCCTCTTCAGAGCACCGCTTTTAACAGCCAGGACAAAGGCCAAGTGAGCAGGGATTTCCAAGGCAGAGCATCCCTCTTTGGCGAAATCGCAGATGGTGACTGCTCAGTGAAAATCGAAAGGATCAGGGAGGATGACCCCCAGGTGTTTGAAATTTCTCTGAAGACAGTGGGCGACTCACTCTGGGGGAAGCCAAGGAGCTTCAACCTGGACCATATTTGTGAGTGAGGAAAACAATGCATGTCCTCTTTTCTACTTTTTAAAACACTTTGATTTTTTTTCACATGATAAATAGTACATAGAAGAATTATTAGTACAATCAGACAATAGAGAATCCCCCGCATGGAAAGTTATATTAAAAAAAAAAGCTGCATGAAGTGCATATGTGTCTTAAGCAGATTAACTATTAAATAAACTTTAAAATGTTTCCCGTGAAAACATATTTTCTTAAATCTAAAATAAATTTACAGGAAGAGCATTAAGCATTTCTTTTTATCTTTACATTTATAAATAAAAATTCACATTTTCTTTATAGAGCACCAATTCACAACTATAGTCACTCAACACACTTTATATTGTAAGGTAAAAGACCCTAACAATCACACAGCGCCATCTTAGCAAGAACTTCATGAGATTGGGAAGGAAAAACTCTGGTTTAACAGGAAGAAGCCTGACTAGCTGTTTGGGGGTGAATCAATATCAACTACAGGAAAAACACACAAGAAGAAATATGGGATTATTCATTAAACAGTTTTGTTTCTATCACATATGAGTAGACTTGTTCAGTAGTTCTAGCACTAATGGTTGTTGTAAGAGAATTCGTCTTTTTGCTTGTATGATTTTTATGTTTTTAATACACTAAAGTGTTAAAATCATAATGATGGAGATTTTCCTTCTTGGCAGACACCCCTGAAGCTCCTGTCATCAGCGGCATCATGTCAGCCACAGAAGGACAACTGGTCACCCTGAACTGCTCTGTCAACTACCACTGCCCCTCCGGACTGCCTGATCTGCAGTGGAGGTGGGAGCGAGGAGCCCAGAAGAATATAACTGAACCTGGGGAAGTACAGACACTCTACCCAGATCCCCACAGGAAAATTTTACTGGCCTCTTTGACCTTTACTGTAACACACCAGGTGAAGCCCAAGCTCAGGTGTCAGGTCATCTTCCCAGGCCCTAAAACACTATCCACTTTGAAGGACCTACATGTGACGTGTAAGTATAAATTTGACACGTGTATTTGTGTTCCTGGCTCAGTAAGCTAAAACCTTTCTTTTTCCCTTTTAATGCTCTTAGTTCCTCCAAAAGATGTGAAGATTCAAGTCCAGACCCTGGCAGTGAAGGAGGGGAGCAATGCACTGCTCATGTGCTCATGTAAAGCTGACCCTCCAGCAACAGAGTACCACTGGTCCTATAGTCAACATGGCCGCACTGTGCACCTCAACCAGCGAACGCACACAGTCCGGCTGTACAACGTGACCCGAGATATGAGGGTCCGGTGCGTAGCTCAGAACCTGATTGGCCGAGGAGAATCGCGACCCACAACTCTTAATATACAATGTAATTCTACCGCTTCTTGGTCTTCTCTGCATCCCATATATACGTGTTGTTAGGTTGCACCCAACTAACCAAACCATAGGATTTGATTTAACCAGGCATTTATTTGGCATCAAATTAACAAGGTTCAACAAGTAGAGCTTGATAAAAACAGATGAGGGGGATAATAAAAGGAAAATAAAACAACTACAGGTGCATAATTCAAATCCAACTGACAAGTAAAAACTGAAATCTGAACTTTGAACTCTCCCAGGAGAAAAAGCAATTGTTAAGTTTCAGTCATGTAAGTAGGTTGGTCCATGACAGAAACACAAAAATTAAGGGAAAGACAATAAGCTTTTGTTGTGTGAAGATAGAGCAAACTAGACTGCAGAGCAGCCATTGAGAGAAACAAAAAACAGGTGATTATACATTAACCAGGATGGATTTGAAAATAAAGGGCAAAAAACCTGTTTATCACCCAGTACATTGTTATGTGTACTGGGTGATAAGCAGGACAATTAAATCCCAATGAGCTTGTCTTACACAGAGTTAAATGTGGAGCTTCTGCATGCATCTATTTGATTTCACTGACCAAACAGTCTGCAAGGCCTGTAAAGACACTAATCACAGCCAATAAATAGTGAATGAACTGTTGTTTTTACATACGCCAAGTAGGCTAGAAGGCAACTCATTTTCTGTAAATTTCTCATCCAACCCATTCAAAAAATTATAAAATTGCCTTTTAATCCTTAGATCCTGTGTTTTGTGTAGATATATCCTCATAAATATTATTGAGAACCTAATGACAGTATTATCTCTTCCAGATAAGCCGGCCATCATCCAGCTCTCCTCTACCTGTACTGTAGAGGAATCAGAGGTGGTGTGCCAGTGTTCAGTCGACTCCAACCCTAAACCTGCAATCACCTGGAGCGTTAATGGGTCTGTTCCACCTCAAGATTACAACGTGTCTGTAACATCAGAGCCCAGTGTGCTAACGGCTATTCTGAGAGGGCAAATGGAAAAACCTCAGATGGTGATTTGCTTTGCTTTCAACGCTCTGGGAAACGACTCGCTGGTCTTGCTGCAGGGAGAAGAAGGTGTGTTCAAAGCACTGTTTTTCCATACTAAGAAAGACAACAGCCCTGCCTCTTGTTTATTCACTCTGATGTCTTGCTTGTGTTGAAACTTCTGTGCAGCATGCCTGCAGCTTAAAAACACAAGTAGAAGAAAAGAAGCTGCAAAGAAAACCAAATAATTTTCTTGAGCT